TGCATTTATGATCGGAGAAATGACAAACAACAAGCCCTGCTCTACACTGCCCAAAAAACTTGATTTAAATATAAAAAATACGTACTTACAGTCTGTGTGTCAGAACAGCCGGCATTGTAGTCTACCAGGATCAGTAAACAGTCCTCCATAAAATGGAGCTGCACACATCTGAATATTTGGGTTGAAGTGTTCTGTAACAGTGTTGTAAATACAACCACTGATTTCTAGTCGTGTCCATTTTTGGAAAGCCAAACAAAGTAGTTTCGCTTTCACAACGAAACACAGCGTCACACACGGCGGGCTAGAGTGAGCGGCGGCGGCCTACAGTGAGCAGAGGCCGGGGGCTAGAGTGAGGAACGGCCGGAGGGTTAGAGTGAGCAGAGGCGGCGGGCTTGAGAACGGCGCGGCCGGCGGATTCGACAAAGGAGGCTTGCGGCAACCACATGTGACGACCCCGGGCTGGACTCCGCTTCAAAAGCCGATCCGGCGATCCACAGCGCGAAGTTGTTGTATTTCCTCAGCAACCAGCACGTATCAGCTCCAGGCATGACGAAGCAGATATCGTCCTCTTTTGGAAGACCAAACAAAGTAGTTTCGCTTTCACAACGAAACACACAGCACCTTCACGACATGGCGGCGGCAACAACAATACTACAGCGAGAATAAAAGTTACATTTTCTTTCTTTGCGTGAACATTTGGGTGGCTTTATGCAAATCTTCCCACATAGGGACATAGACATGTGGGGGCGTGTTAGAACGAGCCGTTTTAGGTAGGCGTGGCTGACTCTTAACTTTTATAAAGAATATTTCTTTGGATTTGAGACTTTAGTTTTTGCAACTTTACAGATCTTCTTTATGCACCAAGAGCTTGTAACACTCCAAAGAGAAAGGAAAAATTGAAAATCGCATCATATGACCCCTTTAAGACATTTATAATTTTTTTTTTTTTTACCAAGGGCACATTAAATTGATCAAAAGTGACAGTAAAGACATTTATAGTGACACAAAACACTTTGGTCATAAAAATATGTTTGTTGCAAATACATTTTTCTTTAGGAATTTTAAAAATGACAAAAAATTCATTTCTAGAAATTTGTACTTTTGAAAAGCCACTTGTTACACAACAGAACACTTTAAAATAAACCAGTGAGGGCAGAAAAGTGACTAAAATGATGAAAAACTTCAGTGCTTGTCATCTAAAATATAAAATATATATATTTTCCTTTATACGTTCATATGAAGTTACCGAAATACATAAACAAACATGGTTTTATCGCCATATCAGCATTAAATGTTGAATAAATACATAAAAATAATACAATATACATTTTTTTTAACCCTTGTTTTTATATTTAAAAAAAAAACTTTCATGGACACATTACACCAATAGAAATACATTAAATAATACTATGAAAGCATGAATAAAGCTGAACATACCCTCAGGTGGTTCTTCACGCAGGTAAGGAGGAAGTTCTTCATTGTTAGGGTCAGCAGGTGCTTCCTCGATCACCTCAGTCTCTGCACTAGGGCCCTTCAATTAACATGATTATACAGTTCACACTGTCAATACATAAAAACACACGCTACAATGCAAGCAATAACAGTCATTCCTGTTATGCAGTACATTTTCATGTTCCCAATTCATGTCTTATCATATATCTGATAAAATATTAAACTCACAATTTTAAAAGACCATCATATTACATTTGTTATTCTTTACACCACATCATTATTTTACCATATTAGTTATTTTTAGTAGCCATATTGGTTTTACAAGATAAATTACACACGGTCATACCTCAATGTGAACTTTGATAATTGTTAAACAAGGACTAATGACATCATTTTGGTGGGAAAACTGCACAAGCATAAGTAGCAATACATTTAATTGATTTCAGTGCTGTTTTTTTAATATTATTATTTTTTCCACTCTAAAACATTCCATCATGTATCAAATATCAAAATTCATTTCAATTTGATACCCTCACCTAATGTAATTGTCAATCCCTCACTAAACAATTATAATTACTCATCTTGTCAGGAATCCTTGTCATTGAGTAAAATAAATCAAGCATGAATTAGATTTCACAAAAGTTCAGATGTTTGGGCACATTTATGAAATGCACATTTATATGAATATGTATTCAGATTACAAACAAAACACTTATTTCTGCAAAGTTATAGAGAGCAAAAGATACTGCATAGCAGGAATGACCCAATTACAACACTAATCAAATCATCATAATCATAATCTCTTCCCTTTTACAGCCTCTGATACAGCTAAAATCATAAACTTTATGGCTGCAAAAATAAAAAAGTTAAATTGCATAGCATACTGTGTATTTTGCACCATTTATCATGCTGATGAAATATTATATCTAGGCATCGACTTATTGTCAGCTGCCTATCTATTTATCAGAGAGAGATAACACAACCGCATTTAATGCCACAGTATCAAAAAGGCCCGTATGTAAATATAACTATTCAACCGTTTGTGTTCGTGCAGAATCAGGTAAGAACAGGTTTGGCTTTATACGGTCACGCAAAACAAACCAAATCCTCCACTCACCTTCATTACGGAGGCTATTAATACAGCCGTGCTTTAAAAAGCGCGTCTCTGCACTTCAATATTGATGGACGCGCAAGACTATAGAATGGAAATAGCGCTTAATACGAAATAAATACAGCGTTTGCTATGTTTTTCATGCGAATTTAAGCGGAAGTGACGTCGGGATGTTTACGGAATTTGGGGATGACGTTGAGCTGGTGGTCGATAGGGGGCAGCAGCGCGTTAATTATACTCACTGACAATGACTCTTGGAACTGCAGTTACTAAGGTATTTTGACAGAATGTATCACAGTAAGTGTTTCATTAGGAGGAGAGAGGTGTTGTAATAATGTAAAATATGTGAAAAATAAAGTGTTTTTCGAACAACCTAGTATGAGAGCCTGTTCTAGTACACCCCCAAAACAAAATCAAGACTTTGTAAAAGAGCACAACAGGACCCCTTTAAACTACATTTTTATGCCTGACTTATTTCTTAGAAAAACCAGAACCGTGACATATATTTGCCATATTTGGCCTTTTTGTGTTTCTCAAAATCAAACTTAAGGCAATCATTGCAAAACAGAGCAAATAAATACGGTATTTACATAAATGATTTTTTTGTTTTGTTAAGATTTTATGGTTTAAGGCTTCATTTTGTGTAGTTTTGTAAGGTTTACAACACCACAGATATTTAGGGGAGCATTTGTGTTCAGACCTAAATTAAATTAGTAAGAGATTAGTGTCACAATACACTTTATTATTATTATTTGTATTTATTTATTTATTAGCCTATATCATTTTTAATTATTATCAAATGCATGTCGCATATTAGCTACACTTCTTTATTTATGTTTTAAACGTTTGCCTTACACTCTTGTGTTTTATGAGCATGTGGGATTGTGGTGATTCATAACGGAGGATTACAATCACATTAATGACAGGTTTCTCACCTTTTATGTCTCCACTGTCAGTCCTGACAAACCATCTCTTACCTGCTGCTAAATAATGTATCACCTCATCAAAAAGAAGACTAGAGGTGAAACGGGGGTGGTTTTAGGTTTTATTGTCTGGAAGTAAAATTGATGTGAATCTAGGCCAGAGTTCACTGGACAAGGCATTAAGCTTTGCTGTTAAAACGGTGTTCAGAAATGTTGTGGAAAGAGAGCATAAATGGGCTTGACCTGTTTAGCAATTATTAAATTATAATGCTACTCTTACCATATGGCACATTTTTCCAATCATTAATTTTTTTTTTTTTACTGTACTATACTACTATTATATTTGAAGTCTTTGTTGACCTATTTATCAAATAATAAATTTTAATGCTACTCTCAGCATATGGCATATATTTTTCCAAATATTAAAAATTATATTTTTCTTAATGCTACTATTTGAAGTGGACCTGTTTAGCAAATATTAAACTGTAACTACTCTTAATATATGGCATATGGAATTTATTTATTTATTTACAACAATGCATAATCTTTACTGGTCAAGCATTTAAAGCATCCTATCCTAATAATTTATTAATTATTCATGACATCAACAGTAAAGTCAAAAAGGTCCTGTAAGGACAGCTGCTTGAGATAGAGGAAAGGTAAGACTGGTGAGAATGGTTTGGTCCTTTAAAGCCCCCAGTGAAACCATATGCTTTAGGAGGTCATGGATTAACTTAACTAGTCACGCAAAACATTTTCTGACACTGGTGTAATTGAGTATGTTGTCCTACTGATCTAATCAACTATGACTTCATGAATAATCAATCATTTAAAAGAATTAATGAATCATTTAGAAAGACTCTGAGAGGTGAGAGGTATTAGCTTGATTTTTAGTACATGAAAGTTTCAGGGCTGTGTCGAGGTATAGATGAGCAAATCTCACAAAGGATATTAAAACATGTATGGGTCATGTCATATCTCACTCCAAAACCAAATTATGTAATGCAACAAAAATAATAATAATATGTGATAATAATATGTGAAGCAAGTTGTATAAAAAAGTATTTATTAATTGATAGTAATATAATATAATATAATAAGGATTTGGAGTATTTATTTATTTATTAAGAACATATACATGTACATACATACATATGTATATATTATTTATTTACATAATTTTAACAAGACCTCATCTCACTATAATGGGGCCTAATTAATAAAAAGTTTGAGACCTGGCTCATCTTTCTCTAACAGGCAAGTTATTAGATGTATCATATATTTGATCAGGAACGTTCACCGTGAAGATTCTGCATGTCAGATCAAAGAGCAAATGAGATTTAGGCCTTCTAAAAATACCAGTGTGTTCATTGTAAGACAACACGTTTCTAGTTGTAAGTGGATTACATCAGTTTACCTGTGAGGAGAATGCAGCACGGCACGTTTGCCTCAGTTATCGTGACCATTTTCATATGATCAGCATTGTGAGTTTTGGACAAAGACTGTGTTTCAGTATGTGTCAAATTCAAAGCGATGAAGATAAGGAAGTGGAGCTATCAGACATCCAGCCTCTTTACACCAAATTCATGATAGAGTGCCTAAGTGGAGCCCTGCATCTTCATGAATTCCGCAAGATCTTCGGAGTTCAGAGCACATCAGAACATGAGGCTTTGTACATGGAAACCCTCTTCAAATCTTTTGACACAAACAGTGTAAGCACAAGAGTTGAAAAGGTCAACTATTTGTACATAATTTCTTCTAAAATGTTCAAATTCAAGTTTCTCATTTCCTTATAAATTGAGAGTCGATAGCGAAGCAGCAATTTCTATGCATAATCTGTGATTATTTGCATGTGTGATCAGCTAATCGGCTGGAAATCATTCATGTTTCTTTTCAGGATGACGTTATAGACTTTATGGAATTTGTAGCAGCCATCCACCTGGTTCTGAGAGGCAAACTGGAAGACAGACTGAAATGGTCTTTTAAAGTTTATGACAGAGATGACAATGGAAAGTTGGACAGGCAAGAGGTCAAACGTGTTATAAAGGTACGAGTGATCTTGAGTCTTACCATTCTCATCTTTTTATTCCCTCTTCTAATGGGTTTCTTGCTTTTTGCTTATAGATAATTTGCCAACTTAAGAAAAACCACATCAACATGACACCCAGTGACATTTGCTACAGGATATTCGAACTTTTGGATGAAAACAAAGATGGTAAGTGCCTCTTTTTCCTTTCTCAAATAAATAGTTAAAGACTAAACATGTAATATCTGGCGTAAACAGCTAAAGGTATATATATTGCCAAAGACACAGACCAACACACCCATAAAAGCCTGTTAAACATTAATTTCAAGACATAGGCTTTAAGCTAGATGCTGCAACATGTCTGTAGGGATTTGCTTCCATTGGAGAGCATCAGTGAGGTCAGGGGCTAATGCTGGGCGATGGGGGTCTGGATAACAGACAGCCTTCCAGTTCATAATCACCAGATTCTGGTCTGGGTTTGTGAAGGCCAGTCAAGGTCTTCCACACCAAACTCAGTATATATCTTTTCTTTAATTTATTTGTGTCATTGTATACATTAAGATTTGTCTTTACTGGAATTAAAGGGCTTTCCACATTTTGACCATATGATGTATAAAACAGCAAAGCCAGAAGATGGACTGACCTGTTAGATTGTTATATATTAATCAAATTACCTTTAACCTTCTTATCTTTAACTATGTGTACTTAATTTATTTGCTTAAATCTATCTATCTATCTATACAAATTTTCACACAAATTATGACTATCCAACCGTTGTGATGTTTTTTCCACCAAAGAGAATTTTTTTGATCATTTCTATTTTTTTTTATCATTTTGAAATAAAAAAAAAGTGTTAAAATATTTAATTGTGTACATTTAGGATTAGTAAAACTTGCCATAATAAGATATCTGCTATTTTATTCCATAAAGATTTAATTTGTCATTCACATCACTGTAATTTCCATCACAGAAAACACACAATAAATAATTTAAGATGTGGTGGAAATAATGTTATTTGTTGATTGAGAAAAATGTGTGAAATCTCCTGCGATGTATGTAGATATTAGATACTGTTTTGGACACTAATAGACAACCTAAATAAACTCATGGGTGTATCAAAAGGATGTTTACTTTCTAAAAATCCACAGGACTACATCAATGAATAAACAGCCTTACATAATAATCCTGTGTGTCGCAGCCTAAATATGTGTAGGCTTAGACTGTTGCTAAATTAAGCCTGTCGGTGGTCAGGGAGAGAGAGGTGTGGGCTGATGAAAGAATTCCTTAAAGACTCTTCCTCTTCCTCTTCACCAACAGGTCAAATATCCCTGTCAGAGTTCATGGAAGGGGCAAAAAAAGATGCCTGGATTATGGACCTCTTAAAACTGGACACTAATGCACGTGGCTGGTTCAGGGAAAACTGGGGGGAAAAAACATGAGTTTTCAATAAGGTCAAGGCCCATGGGCCAAAACCTGCTTGACCTTTTAAAATCTTTCAAATGTTGAGGGCTGCAAATGGGAGAGGCCTGGTATGGAGGTCAGAAAATATTTGCCTTCTGTCACAAGCGACATACGTGCCTCACCATTGAGCACATTGATGTTCAACCAGTCCGCATGTGTAAAAGCGGCTCACATTTTCTTCTTTGTCTGGTGCTGATACTGACATTTAAATACCCAAAAATCACATTAAGAGCATGAATCACGTGCTTATAGAGGGAGCTATAACCATGTTCTGCAGTTAGTTTTACTATTTAACCCGTTTGTATCCTTTGTAAGTAAGAAGCATATATTTTTTATTTTTTTATTTCACAATTATGTTATTATCAGACTATTCAAGCCTACGCTGGCCTAGTAGTATTATACTACATGAATTAATATTATCAAAATTCATTTTTATATATTATACATTATTTATTTGTCTTTACAGTGAATCTGTAATCTTTCTGTTTAACCCAATTTTATGTCAAAAGTCACTTATATTTCACTTGTATTATCACAGTGCTGATTTTTATACCATAAAATATACAGTGTGTCTATGTTATTTATTTATGTTCATACAGTACATCTGTAATTTTACAATTGAACCAATTCATTTTTATTTAAGAAACAAAGTGTTCACTTATTTCACAATTATGCTATAATCAGATTATAACAATACAATAATACATAAATTATTATTTATATTATTAAAATGAATTCTTATATAATATTATTACAGTGGTGATAATTTCATATACAATGTGTCTATTTTATTTATTTGTTTAACTAATAACTTGCCACTTTTAATGCCATTGGAACATTCTTCCATTTTTGTGTTTTTTATATTTATATCTTAAAGGTGCTATGTGTAAGTTTTTCAATGTAAAATGCTTTCCCAATGTGCAGCATTTAAACTATATGCAAATGAATGTTGTCAAAATTCTGTGATATTTTGAACAATGAGTGCTTTTACATGCAGGATCTTACACCGATTATTCCCGACAGCATGTAAGGTCATTGTTATGATCACCAGCTGGAGTGCCCTTGAGAACCACCTCAGACTGTTGTCACACTCTCACAGACTACATTCCCCATAATCCTTTGCCTGGACTCAACACTGATTGCATTCACATGTGTCTCGTTACCTCATCAGTCTCACCCTATAAAAGCCTGGTTTACTCATTCATTGTGAAGTCTTGTATGTTTAATGTTACACTGCAATTCTGAGTCCTGGTTTCCTGTGTCTTTATTTCATTTTTTTGTCTGTAGTCCAAGATTTCCCTGTTGTTCCTACCCTGTTGCTTATTGTCTGGATTGCCTGCACAGTGTTTTGACCCATTGCCTGTTACACGGATTATGATTCTGAATTACCTTTCAATAAAGAACTGCATTTGGATCCTCAGCCTTCGTGTCTCTGTGTAATTACGTAACAGGAGACTTCGCCACCATGGATCCAGCAGAGGAGATCTTATTCCTGCGTCAAGGGGCCAGCACCATTGAGGATTACACTGGTCGGTTCTGTGCTCTGTTTAAGTGTTGAAAGCCTTGTACTGCTTTGCCTTAAATTATCTTTAAGATCTTGCATGCCCACTGGAATAAATTAATTGACTTTAGAACAGTATATTGACTATGCAATTTTGCTAAGTGGTTCTTCCTTCACTGTTGGGGTCAAGGAGGACCATTCCCCCAAATATTTTTTGGGAGGTGGCACCGCACACCAAGCTCCAGTGGCCATGGAGCTCGTCATATCACCGTCACCACCATGTCCAGTTTTAATGGTTGCTAGTCCTGTATCTTCCAGTATACCTTCCAGTCCAGTTATTGCCAGCCCAGTACTTCTCCATATGATGGCCACCATGCCAGAGCACACAGCCGTTATGGATGTCACGCCACAGTCTTCAGCTGTCACGGACGCCACTCCAGTGTTCCTGGTCATTAACGTGGCATTTGATGACACCCAGGCATTCCACAGGCGTTTGAGGCTGGCTTCCAGTTTGGCGGACCCATCGTTGGTTTTGGCCAGAGCAGCTGGCATTCCAAGGGCCTCAGCACTGGCTGTTCCCCTATCCTCAGTGCTTTCAGTAATGGTGGTCGCCATTTTGTGTGTTTGGGCTGCAACTGCTCTACTATTCCTCCAGAGCCCACTCCAGTCCACGAGTCCATGAGTCCACTCCAGAGCTCTCAAGCCTTAGAGATCAGTCCTGTGTTGATGCCGGCCTGTGAGCTCCCTGCCCTGGTAGAGGAGGCTCTCTGCCTGTCCTGTCACGGCCATGGGGGGCCGTCCCTGAACTCTCTGCCTGTCCTGTCACGGCCAAGGAGGCCATTCCTTAACTCTCTGCTTGCCTTGTTACGGCCAAAGATGCCGTAACAGAAAAATACTGTCTTCCTGTTCTGTTATGGCCACAGAGGCTGATGTTAACCTCTGTGCTCTCTATTTCAGTCCCGCCTGAGCCATCTTGGTGGTCACCTGCACCATCAGCTCCGCTGAAGGGGTTCTCAGCTCCATCTGCTCCACCGTGGGGGTCTTCTGACCCATCTGCTCTGCTGTGGTGGTCATCTGCTCTGCTGTAGTGCTCTTCAGTTCTGCCCTGGATTCCTACTCTGCCGGCTCTGACCTGGTGGTCTTCTCCAGGTCCACCTCCAGCACATGGACCTAGCCCCCCATCCCTCGCCCTGATCCGCCTCTGCTCCACCTCCCTCCTGGTCTATTCTTGTTGAGAAGCGTCTGGAAGCCGCTTCTTAGGAGGGGGGCTATGTTATGATCACCAGCTGGAGTGCCCTTGAGAACACCCAGGGGCACGCCACCCCACACTGTCACTCTCACAGACTACATTCCCCATAATCCTTTGCCCAGACTCATCACTGATTGCATTTACCTGGTTTATTCACTCATTCATTGCAAAGTCTTGTATGTTTAATGTTGCACTGCAATTCTGAGCCCTTACTCCCTGGTTTCCTGTGTCTTTGTTTTGATCTTTTGTCTGTAGTCCTGGATTTCCCTGTTTTGCTGTTGTTCCTGTCCTGTTGCTTTATTGTCTGGATTGCTTGCGGTGTTTTGACCCATTGCCTGTTACACAGATTGTGATTCTGAGTTAATCTTCAATAAAGAGCTGCATTTGCATCCTCAGCCTTCGTGTGTCTGTGCAGTTACATAACAGTCATTTAGACACTTAAGTGTTCTTTTATCAAGTAAATGCCATAAAATGCTTATTCAATGTGCAAATGTCTTGTGTGCATTGAGCAGCTCAACTTAGTGTTATTGACCATCTTTTTTTTTTTTGTGGAATAAAGTGCTTGAATGCCCAAAGCTCATTATACAGCATCTGTGCATGAATAAGAGCTGTAATCAAACGAATTCTGCAGAAAACCCAGCCTGGAGACAGAAGTGCATTTATAATTCATGTCTGCATGAGTTCACACATAGCAAGTTTACAGGACATGTGACACACAGGCCACTCCTGCATGCATCATTTATGCACAGAATTAAACCTTATTTTTGATTTATTGACCTAAATTGGAAGCCAGATTTACTCCAGCATGGTGCCTCCCAGTATGCGATGTGTTTACAGATGGTGCTTAGCAATGAACTATTCTTAACAGTGACATAATTCAAACTATGTTATTTTTTTTTTACCCTTAAGCCTAAATGGAGCTCATCCTTTAGCCGAACCACAATTAACCCCTATAAATGATCTAGGTACAGCCTTTTAGGGACCTTATGAGAAACTGCATTCGTCAAATTAATTTCTAAATCATTTAATATGTAATTCATTTATTTTCCTCACTTGATTTCTCTGTGATGAACAGTAAACACACTTAACTAACTGGTGCCAGATTAGCATGTTCCAGAATCGATTGCTCACTTTACTTTTAAAGCCATTAGGCAAAATATCATATTTTTGGTCTGGAAATATTAGAGAAATATTAGAGAACAAACAATGCAGTTTCATGCACTTTTCTGGGTTTTTGTTAGTCTGTCTGACTACAGGTTGGCAGATCATGCACTATTACCTAAAGTGACCCTAAGTCATACAGATACTAACGCAATGACAAAAAAAGGTTTTTTTTTGTGTGATACCTATTACATATATTTAATAAACTTTTATCTAACATAACATAAAATTAACACAAATATCTTTTAAAATCTAAATTGAAGCTAAATTAAAAAAAAATAAAAATTATATATATATATATATATATATATATATATATATATATATATATATATATATATATATTTCAAATAAAAAAAACATCAATATAATAAATTGGTTACTTTGCATATTACGTTGTGTTACTTAATATTTACTACAGGAAATTCATATATAATTTCAGAGGTGATTTGTTGCTGCTTCTTATAGAAATTATAACATTTAATTGTGGTGAACTTTTGACCTGTGAATTATTTTGCGGTTCTGCATATTTAAGATGTGGGATATTGTCTTTAGCTAAATATATTACATGACCTTAAGATGGATACAGAAAAACGTCCCCCAACGCCTCAACGTCTGGCTGTGTTTTGTCCTATTTTTCAAGTTTTCACTTCAGCAATCTGCATACATGTAACTAAATTTAGACTCATCACTTCAAAACAACTGTAGCTTGTTGTATCTCATTTTCTCTAAACTCACTGGGGTTTGGTGTTCCTGAAAGATTAAATAACTAAATTTCAATCTAATTTCAAAAACATTTCTGTTGCATCAAAGAGCTTGAAACAGATCTGTTGCAACATATCTTTTTAACAGCCTTCTGAAGCAGTTCATTCAAAATTCATGTGACTTCCTGGCCCTCCATAACAAGCACATTAAAATTCTCCATGACATCGTTCTCCTAGTCACCAGGAAGATGCTAAATGCTGTGTACCAATAAAAGAAATTGGAAAAAATTTAATAAAAAATAAATGCTGTGCAGAGACATGGAGTACAGACACTGTTACAGCAATATAAAAAAAAAAACAATT